TCGAGTATTTTAAACTATTTTTGACTTCCCACTTAGCCTCACACTCAATACCTATAATCGATTTTTTACCTCCTCGAATTTCCTCTGTTTTTCTTTCGATTCAAATTCTCGATTTTCCTCAGCAATAATCATCGAATTCCTTCTTTTGATTTTCGATTCAAATTCTCGATTTTTTTTCCCACCAACACTTACATAATAAATTAAGTTACTTTTTAAGCTATACTAGGAAGTTTTCATACAGTCATTTCCAATGTTTTAAGTCTTGCTACAATACTTGTCATTTCAATAATATGCTCATGTATTGTACGTGATCCATCAAATTTTATGATGGTCAGTGAACTTATTATTGTCCCAGCAAGACACTTATCAACTATTTTGGAGAGCTCTCCCACTAATCCCATAAATCTTTAAAGTTATGTTAATACTATTAGCAATAATCATTCTCATGAACACCAGTGGTGGACCTTGACCATTAATTTTGGAGGGTCAAATAATATATTATTAATAAATAATAAATAAATATAAAAGGGTAAAAGAAGATGAAAAAGTGAGAGGATAAAATTATAAATATATAAGTAAATATATTAAATGATCATTAAGTTTGAGAGGTCACAATCATAAATTAAATGAGAGTTACAAAATTGAGGAGAGGGTGAGATGATAAAATTGTAAATATATAAGTAAATATATAAAATGATCATTAAGTTTTGTAGGAGGATCAAAATTATAAATTATATGAGAGTTACAAAACTTTAAGGGGTCACGACCTCCTTAATTTCCCATCGCCATTGATGAATACTAAGTTGAGTCTGTTAGATCTTTCTTAAACTTTATAATAAGTTTGTTGTTCATCGTTGTTAGAATCAACATCATACTTCTCTTCCAATATAGAAAGATAAAGATCCATAACACAAAGGTGAAATTAGATTTGTTCATTCTAATTAGAGGAGTTAAGCCATTAAAATTTAGTATAAATAATACATGAGAATTCGTTAAGTTAGAAATCAGTATTATACGACAAAATTTTACATAAGTGTTAAGTCATAAACAGATGTTATACACATAATATTTAAACAAAAAATAAAGTATATTAATATTCTCCTTTGAATAATACATACATATAACATATACGAGATATAATAATGTCAATAAAATTATAATATTAATGACAATTAAAATATGCACAGATTAAAATTACCAAATACCTTTAAATATATAAATAAAACAATGATTCATATAAATTATTTACAATTAAACTTATTAAAACAATCAATAAACCTTTTAGATAAAAGATAAATGTGTTAGAAATGAATTTCAATAAACCTATTTTATTTTATTTTATTTTATGCGTAAATGACATAAATTATTATTAATTTAAAATTAAATAACTTTAAAATTTTGTGTTACTAACAAATTTATTATATATTTAATTTCAAATAAATACGTCTTTTATTATTATTATTAACCATAGTAACATTTTCATTATTTCATTTTAAACATATATCATTTACATAATAAAATATTAAATCACATCATATATAAATAAATTTTTACTATTATTTCATTTATTTGTTTCATTAATACACTAGAATTCATTATTTGCCCTTCTGTAAACATGCATATAATTCACCATGACATTCATTCTTAATACACAAATTCATTCACACTACATATAGTTGTATGATGGGCAGGTACGGACAAAAATATACAAATCTCAATTAAAGAATAACATAATAATTGCAAAACATTAAAACATTAGACAATGTAAGACCAATATTTCCTAGCAAAATTCTCGTATACTATAAATAGAAAAAAATATATTATTATAATACAGTGCATATAATATTCAAATATTAGAAATTGAATTTCTAAATAAATTTTATAATTCGGTATTATAAACAAAATCATGAATAAGATTTATAAAAACTGAGAAAAATATAATTTATAGGAAAATAGTAAAAAGAGAATCACTCAATTTTACAATCTTACATGCCTAAAATTATAATATTTTTTAAAATTATATAAAATAAAAAAAACTAAATAGATTTTGAAATTCATCCTCAAATAAGTTATTGGAAGAAAAAAAGTGTTTTTTTTTTCAATAATATAAATTATTCTTGATTATTATTAATAAAATATAAGAACAAGATTTTACTCTCTTAATTATTTAATTTTTATTTTTATAAAAAAATTAAAACTATTATTCCTATTAAATAAAAACTATTTTTATTTTGTTTATTTATTTCTCTGATATCAAATCTCATTCCTTTAACATATTCATATATTAGCGTTGAAGGAACGGTCATAAGAGCTTCCATTTTCTTATTTTATTCTTATTTTGTTGGTAGCTAGACAAATTTATCAAATAATATATTACTAATAAATAATAAATAAATATAAAAAAATAAAAAATAAAAAATTAAATTTGTAAATATATAAATAAATATATTTAATAATTAATAAAAATGTGATAAAAATTATATATATTAATATAATTATATAATTTTAAATTATTAAATTAAAAAAATATTAAATATTAATATTAGTTATAAAATTTGGAACCATCGATGTCCAAGGAGAAGATCGCATCTGCTGGTGACCCATGCTTTAATGTTCTCTATAGATAGGTATCTCCTCCAGGTTGTCAATTCTGTAAGTAAGCCTGCACATCGCAACAATGATCTGTCGGGTACGAAGAAACCATTCCCGCCAAACAGTGGAGGCATTATTGCTCACACCCTTCTCAAACTATTAGCTTCTTCTTCTCATGCTAAGTGTTAAGATGGGTAGTGAAAATATCTTAAAAATCCTACACAATATCTTCTCAACAAGGAACATACCTTCTTCTCCGTTACCGTGAACCATAGACAGGGGAAGGGTGTCGAGGCATCGGATCCCATTCTTCTTGTTTTTTTTTTTTCTTGAGGTTATGCATTCATAAAAAAAAAATTAAAAATTAAAGCAACAGGAATATATAAATATAAAATCTAAGGAGGGTAGGTAAGACTCATGATTCAGACCTCAATCAAACACACCTCTTTCATTAATTAATATATATATATATATATATATATATATATATATATATATATATATATATATATATATATATATATATATATATATACACATGAATGTCCATTTGAAATTACTATAAATTCTTTTTATATTCACAACTAATATGATATGTGTTTAAAAAAAAAGTGTTTTAATTTTAAAAAAAATCATCAGAATTTTATAAAACCTTTCAAAATATATAGAATTTTTTAAAACCAAAAAGTCTGTTTGGAATTTCAATTAACTACCCATCCTATGGGAACATATTTTATATGTTTCAAAATATTCCAATGAAGTTTATTTGAAAAGTATAATCTATTTAAAAAAATAGTATAAGATATGCTCTAAACATCAGTGAAAACTGGCAAAAAGATGGATTTAAATTTTCCATATTAGACATTTTTGTTTTATGATTTAGATGGCCTGATTGAACCAAGCCTTAGAAGGAAAGTGACCTGTGGAAGATTTTCTCATAATATGTTTAAAATGGATGAATGAAAAAAAGAAAGATGAAAATTCATTTACGAAAATGATGGATTTAAATTTTCCATATTAGATATTTTTGTTTTTTGATTTAGATGGCCTGATTGAACCAAGACTTAGAAGGAAAGTGACTTGTGGAAGATTTACTCATAATATGTTAAAAATGGATGAATGCAAAAAATAAAGATGAAAATTCATTTACGAAAAATATGCAGCATGATAAATTAAACTTATTAGAAGGTTTCATAATCTTTTATCCCATAAAGGTTTTATTTGTAAAATAAAAAATACCTTTTTATTTTTCATTTTTTAAAATATTATCTTTTAGATTTTTTTTTTAAATAAGAATCAGTGATATGTAGTTTTTTGGGAAGGATAATTCTATTTTTATACAAAATACCTATTTATTAAAAATACTATATTTATTTTAAAAATATCTTAAAGAATTTTAATTTGTGTTTCTTTTTATTTATTTATTTTGAAGTGATGTCGAACCAATTGAATTGGGTGGACAGATGAAGTTAGGTGATGGAGATATAAAGTATTTTAATAACTGAAATTTTTCTATTTTAATAATTTTATATAAATTAAGAAAAGAGATTATAAAAATCAATAGTGATTGAGAAATGATGATTAAAAAGTAGTTATAAGAATAAATTATATTTACATAATATATTTTATTTATTTGAAATTTGATGTATATATGATGAGGAAAAATAACAAATACTTTAAAAGTTTAATTAATTAATTTCATATAAGAAATTATTTACTTTTGTAATAAATTATGACAGGACTATTAAGTGATGTAAGTGATGTAAGTGATATGGCTTTTAAGTATTTTTCATAAAAATTCACATGAATTTATCATATATTTTGAGTTATATCTACAATGTAAATTTTTTGTTACATTATCAGTATGAAAACTATTTTTTTTGTACTAAAGAACAATTATTTTTTTACAGATATCATAGAAGAAGATTTAATTTTTTTTTATCGAAAAAATACTTATGATTAAAATAAAATATAAATATTTTTTAAACAGATGAATGAAAATAGAAGAACGAAACGAAATAGAAGTGCATATCTACCACTGTATCTAATCTTCATTTAATTATTTAACGTGTAGACTTGGTCTTTTGTTTTAATTTATATATCCTATCAATTTTAGTTTTTATGGGAACAATTTTCCTAATTATTATTATTATTTTATCATACAAAATTTTCACAAAAGAAAGTATAAAGATTATAACATGAAAATAAAAATTAGAGTAAAATATGAAATTTGTAGATGTGAAAACTGAAATTATAATTGGGTCATGGCTTACGTTTAAATCATGAACTTTCAGCGTGCAGAGGAAGAAGGAGAATGACTATAAATATAAGCCATTTAGAAGGTAGCAGTGTGAATTATTAGGTATTTTACAAGTTCATTCATAATATTCTTCATTGAAGCGGGAAAAATGGGTGAAACAAACCATGTTAGCAAAAGCAGCAGGTGGTGTTTGCAGGGGATGACAGCACTCGTCACTGGTGGTTCCAAAGGAATCGGGTTACTATCATCTCTCTTTCTTCTTCCACATTTTCTTTTTTCATTTCAATTTTTGTAATTAACAACAAAACGATTGGAAAAAAATGCTTTTTTTTTTTTTTTTTTGTTGATCTATATAATATTTGCATGAGAACGGTTTCCCGCTATTAATTTCTCTGATGTATATTGTTCTTACTTCTTCCTAGATATGCTATCGTGGAGGAGTTGGCACAATTTGGGGCCATTGTACACACTTGTGCTCGAAACGAAGCTGAACTCAGTGAATCCTTAAACGAATGGAGCATAAAAGGATACAGAGTGACCGGTTCGGTCTGTGACCTTGCGTCTCGTGTAGACAGAGAAGAGCTCATAGCTAGAATCTCCTCTCAGTTTAATGGCAAACTCAACATCCTTGTCAGTAATCCATTCAATTGCATGGAATTGAAGTTATTTTTTCAACCTTTTCTCAGAAAATCAACACCAGGAGGAATAATTTTTGCATTAAGTTATTTATTCATTATTTTATCAGATTCGGCTTACATTTTTGTACTCCTTTTAGGTTAACAACGTGGGAACAAACATTCAGAAACAGACCCTGGATTTCACAGAGGAAGATTTTTCAGCTCTGATCAAAACGAATCTTGAATCTTGTTTCCACTTAAGCCAGCTTGCATATCCTCTCCTAAAAGCTGCAGAAGCTGCAAGTATCATTTTCATATCCTCAGTTGCTGGAATGGTAGCTACAAATTTAGCATCCGTTGTATATGGTGCAACAAAAGGTAACAGTTCATTGAATTCCATGTGGTAGAGTATGCTAGAGAGGGTAGTGAGTAGTAGTAATAACTAGCCAACTGTCATGGACATGCAGGAGCAATAAACCAAGTGACAAAATATTTGGCATGCGAATGGGCCAAAGACAATATAAGGACTAATTGTGTTGCACCTGGGCCAATTAGAACCCCTCTTGGTGACAAGGTAATCTTTTGTTGTTGTTGTTTTTAGAGTATGACGTTGTTTTCCGTTTTTTCTCTGGACTGAGGGCATCTTATCATTGTTATGTCCTTGAAGCACTTTAAAGAGGAAAAAATTCATAATGCTGTGACTGCACAAGCCCCTCTTGGACGGGTCGGAGAGGCAGAGGAGGTGTCTTCGTTGGTGGCATTCCTCTGCTTGCCTGCAGCCTCTTACATTACAGGACAGACCATTTGTGTTGATGGTGGCTTCTCTGTGAATGGCCTCTATATAAACTAGCCTTGGTTTTCCAGATCTTGTGGTTAGTCAGTTACACTCTGATTGTGTTGGTTTCTATCTCATATTAAGAATAAATTAATTAATAAAGAGTGTGCTTTCCTCGGCTCAATTCATGGGTGTGTTTCAATTCACAATTAGTTTTTAGGGCAATACCGAGACTGTATTATGTTAAATGTACTTGGAAGGTGTGATGTTTATTTGTTTATATTAATAAAACTTAGTGTTTGCTTTCTACTTGAACTCAAACTTCAATGGAAATACGGTTTAATGTTCAACCTAAGAATAATACGAAAGAGTTGAAACAAATACACTATATTGTTAGGATGGATGAATTGTTCCTGTTAAAAAACATAGGTTGAAATTTCAATTCTTAAAAGACACTCTTGTATTTGTAATATAATAAGTGAAGTCATAATTGAGTTTGACTTCCGAGAAAAAAATGTTTTAAGTTACGTTATACCATAGGATAAGACAAAGAAGTCATAGTAAAATTATGGCATTTCGCTATTATATTTTTTCTTAAAAGAGTTGTGTCTTTTAATTACATTATATATATATATATATTGATTAACTGTTCAATTTAATAATTATTATATATATTAATAATTCATATTTTTATAATTTTTATTTTTTCCATAAAAATTATGATATTTTTATAAGATATTTTCTTAAAATAAATATAAAAATTATCAGATATAAACAAAAAAATCTTCTATCTGTTTTACCGCTTTGTATTTCTATCAAATTCTTTTTACACACGCCATCAATTTTTGAGTACCAGACACGTATTATAATAATTTATATTATAAGTCTATAAACTTCACCATGAGTTATTTGTCTTAGTCTCATAAATAATGTGTTTATATATTGATCCTCTAAAACAAATAAATCATAAAAAGTGACGCATATGACAAAGAGTAAACTGTCTTTGGGGGATGTTTAATAAGTTGGAAATTTGAATTTTGTGATTTAAATTCACCATCTGAAATGGTCAAATCTGATAAATTTTGAAAATTAATAATTCTTTTTCTAAGCTCTTCCAACAATTGAATTCAAGGCAATCGTAATTAGTTAATAACTTTTTTATTACGTTAATAGTTAATGTGTGATTTGATGTCAGTAATTAAAATATTTAAGTAAACCGAATATATTGTGTAAAGAGGAAACAATACTAAAAATTTATTTAGAGAGTAAAATAAATAAATAAAAGATCGAATGTATATCTTATTAAATCCTATTGAAAATTTATTTCCTTAATAATTTATATAAAAAACAATAAAGCGAGATTTATTCTTTTATATAATATTAAAATAATAATTATTTATTCAAATAGACCTATCTTAGTAGTATTTATATCAAAATATATTTTTTTATTGTGCAAAATTAAAAATCGATTCCAGAAATCAAATTTCAAATGAAACACATCTGTCTCATTCCGAGTTAGAATTCAATTCGCTGGGATTGAATTCTGAATTATAATTATTTTTTCTAGCATTAAATATATATTATATATAAATGTATATATTTATATATTTTGAATATATATATTTAATAAATATAAATTTATATAATTATATATTTGTATATTTAATATATATATATATATATAATAACTTTATTAAATATATAGAAAAATACTTATATCTAATATATATATATATATATATATATATATATAGTATTTGTACTAAATAATATTAAAAAATTATTTAATTTTGATATATATAAAATAAATTTGGTATAAATAATTTGTTAAATGATAAAATATATTAAAAAATTAAAGATTAAAGTTACATAGTTAAAACAACACATGCTAATTTAAAATTTAATTAAATTGGAAATAATACATAATAAATAATAATTAGAAAATTATTTTGTAACTCATGAACCAAACGTAAACCTTATTATCTCGTATTTGTCAATATATGTATTATCTTTTAAATCAGGAATAAACTTTTTAAATGTTAGTCTTTATATAGTCTTAGTTTGAATAAATAATTTAATATTTTCCCTTTGTTCACGTTGCATTTTTTTGTGTAAAGTTTGTGTTATTTTTTTAGTTGTTGATCATTTGAGTCACATTAATATTAGATTTAATATGTATTAAGTTATAAATAATCTTTTGATTTTGGACTGGAATTGGATGTCGGCAGCTTTTCAATTATTTGTTTGCAGTTCCTAGTCAAGTACTTCAATAGTATTTTCAAATATCTAAGTGAAAGATCATGTAACAAAAGACTAGATTAGTTAGGAAGAGATAAATCTAAATTTGACATTAAAATAACATAGCAAGAATAATGATTTAAGACATCTCAAATATTGTATTATGAAACTGCCCATTTAGGGTTACAACTATGTTATCATATATATAGGACTATTAAAAATTTTATAGGATGTAATGTATCAATTTCTAAAATGAAAATTGGACTTTATCATTTGGGTCAATGTATGAGCCAATGTGCAATTGTCATTATTTTTTGATACCCTCACACAAGCTAGAGGTACAAAGATTTCAATGAACTCCAACTTGGATAGATTGACTTTAAATAGCGCTAGAAATAAGATTTTGGTGAAGATATAAGTCAATTAATTAGAGGAAGATATATGAAGAAAATGCATTAGACCATGTTGAGATTTTTCTGACAAAATGACATTCAATATTAAGATGTTTAGTTGGCTGGTGAAAAATTAGATTAGTAGTTATGTGTAACACACTTTGACTATCACAAAAGAAAATTGATTATCGCTCACAAGGAACATGAATGTTTAATATCAAATAAGTGATCCATTGTAACTCACAAGTAGTAGAAGCAAGCCCTTTACACTTTGTCTCTTATGATGATTTTGAAACAATATCTTGTTTTCTGGTTCACCAAGAAATTAAAGATTTCCCTATAAAGAAACAATATCCTGTAATAGATCTTTGAGAATCTACACAGGTAGTCCAATCTGCATCAGTGAACCCTTAGATTTCAATTTGTTGAACATTCAATGACTTGATGTTGCAAATAATGATCATGAAGAATGTTGATTTTGATGATGATCCAAGAGCTTAAAGACTTAGAGTATTGAAGATTGAAGATTAATGATTTCTGTTTTGTAATAACTCTGTTTTAGTTTAATTGAGTCTGTAATTATAGAATCTAAGATAGCCGGTACATAGTCTGTAACTTAGAAGCTTCAAAATGCTCAAAATTATCATGCAGGCTCGGCTTTAATCGATTATATAGGTAAATAATCGATTAAAACAGTGAGAAAACCACTTTCTATACAAAGTCACTGTTTTAATCGATTAATCAGCAAAATAATCGATTATTTTGTACAGTTCCGTACAGATAATCGATTATTTCACCAAATAATCGATTAATCCAGAGAGGTTTGGGTTCTGAAGTATTTGGCTCTGTTTTAATCGATTATCACTCCAAATAATCGATTATTTCAGTCTGTTTTTCATTTTAAACTTCAAACAAACCCTATTTTCGAAAACCCAATTACCAAGAACCCTAGTTTCGAAATTCCCAATTCCTAAACCCTAATTTCCCTACTTAAACTCTCCTTTGGCACTCAGAAAAACAAGAACAACTCTTTCCATATAAAAGTTAAGTGCTGTGAGTGCAAGAGAACTGTTTGTTGCAAGGAAAGGGGGCTTTTGGAACCTGGTGTGGGCTAGAAGCGATAAGAATCACTAAGTGGAGTTCTTAGTGGATTGTGTGCTGTGCCGTCTCTGGGGAAAGCTGTTCTTCATCTCTTGTGGATTTCAAGAGAGGTGTTGTCTTTACTTTATCTCTTTGATTTGTAATCTGTTTGTAACAATTTGTTCTTAGTGACAACGTTAATCCTCTTTTGAGTGATTAGCAACTGGACGTAGGGTCTTTTGATCCGAACCAGTATAAACCTACTGTGTAATCTTCTCTACTCTTCTCTATTTACATTTACGCAGTTTTTAATCGGTAAAATTTGGGGAAAATTTTGAAAACCTAATTTTTATTAAGAAACCAATTCACCCCCCTCTTGGTTTTTGTCCGACCACGCGAACATTCACTGCGCGATTCTAACAAGTGGTATCGAGCTTGCTTTGATAGTCATTCAAACTTTTCGAAAATGGCCGGACAAAATCAAACTTTTGCCGAAGGTGCGTCTATCAACAGACCCCCACTTTTTGCGGGTCAAAATTATCCTTTTTGGAAAGTACGTATGCAAATATTTTTAGAGTCCGTTGATAGAGGCATTTGGGACGCAATTTTAAATGGTCCATTTGTTCCTAAAATTACGAGAACGGTGTTGACGTTCTTAAACCTTTTGATAGATGGACTTGAGAAGAAAGTCGAAAAGCACAATTTGATGTTAGGGCTAGAAACATTATTTCATCTCGCTCTAACCCTTGATGAGTTTTATAGAATTTCAGTTTGTAAAAGTGCACAGTAAATGTGGGAAATGCTAAGGGTGACCCACGAAGGAAGCTGACGACGTCAAAAGAGCACGTAAAAATTCTTTAATCCAAGAATACGAGATGTTCCGGATGCAACCCGTGAAACGATTTTCGACGTTCAGAAACGTTTCACTCATATCGTGAACCATCTCACTGGACTAGGTAAACTTTTTGACGTTGATGAATTAAATGTTAAAATTTTGAAATCTCTCGGATAGGAAATGGCAACCAAAGGTGACGACCATCTCGGAGTCACAAAATCTTGCCACTATGTCCATGGCGGCGTTATTTGGAAATCTTAGGGAGCATGAGCTTGACCTTGGAAGACTAAATGAGGAAGAGGGTCAATATCAAAAGAAGAACCTAGCTTTCAAGACCGAAATTTCAAAAAGCAAAAATAAGAAAGAAGAAGAAGAAGACTCCGAAATTGATGAAGAAGAAATGAGTCTTTTTATAAAGAAGTTCACCAAGATGATGAAAACAAAAGGAAGACATCCTTTCAAAGGTAAGGGAAAGGTAAAAGAAAATTCTTCCGTTAATATAAAATGCTTTGGTTGTGGTGAAGCAGGGC